GCAGCAACAGACAATCAAGGGCACTTGTGATTATTGCGGGTAGTGACTTGTTTAAAGTGCAATAATTGGATGTCAGATGCTGGGAGGGGGACACCGAATGTGGCAGGAGGCAGGGGGGTGCGGGCAGAGCATGGAGGGAGTTTCGTCTCCTGACCGCCTGGTGGAATAAACTGTTTTATTTGGGTATTGTGTTGCATCCAACCTCTTGGGTTTCTCATTTGGTCGTGTAGGCCTATAAGAAATGGACTTCAGTATTTCATGTCAATTGTTTTGGGTCCATATTCTTCTGTCTGTTTTGTTGCCATGGAATTTTGAAAGTAGCCCAAAGAGACTGGAAGACTACTCAACATCTGAACGGCCATCAGGTGATGAATGCATGTCCTTGATGACATGTTCCATTATCAGTGTCAAAATAAAGGCAACATTCACACAGCGCAAGATGCAACACTATCCAGACCAGGCATTGGAGTCTTGCTAAATATCTAATGTCTCGCCACTATCTCATGGGCAAAAAATGATGGAACCGAATGCCAGAATGGATTTTTGTATGTGTGGGTCCTGGAAATGAATTCCCTACCTTCAGGAAAATTGTTAACATCTTCATGATAAGGCATTTCTTTTGACCACAAATGTTATGTTACAATGGGTTTGGATGATTACCTGAATGCAATTAAGGAGGATTTGTTCACTGTTCTTCGTGTACCTAACCTGATTTTATTATTGCCACGATGGCCAGTTTTCACATTAAAATGTTGAAAGAACATACATTGTGCCCTACTGCTGTATTGTACGAGCTGTCTGAAATGGATTTAAGAAAAGAAAATCATTTTTCATTGAAATCGCATGTATTGAGTAGTAGTGATTATGGGGTGTTTTTGCCCACATTCTACAGTTTTGCCATTCGTGTTACTCTCAACACTCAATCCTGTTATTCTTACTGCACTGTCAACACCACATTTTGTTGCTGTAACACATTATTTAACACTTTCATAAATGTACTTAAACACCAGGTAGTGTGGATACATATCGACGTTTTGCTAGGCCTAAAATTAATGCCCTACGGCAGGTATGCATGGGGAGCCGCTGTCCTGCCTCTTTTCCATCCAGCTCTGAAGCAGCATTACAACCATCCTGATTATTTGAATCAGGTGTGTTGCAGCCGGGAGAGATGGAAAACAGGCAGGACAGCAGCCCTTGAGGGCCAAGTTTGGACACCCTTGCCCATCGGCAGGGGTAGGGAACTCCGGTTACCCGAGAGCCATATCCTGCCTGTTTTAGATCTCTTCTTACTTCAACACACCTGATTCAAACGATCAGCTCAAGAGCAATCTCTGTAGAAGCCTGAAACAATCATGATCAATTGAATCAGATGTGTTGGAGTAGGGAGGAATCTAAAACAGGCAGGATATGGCTCTCGAGGAACCGGCGTTCCCTAACCCTGCCCTACGGTGTTGAATTAACACTAGCAGATTTGCAGTCTAGTAGGATTCGTCAATTAATGTGATCTTGTCAAATTTCAGCCATAACTTCTGATTCTGTCTTACATTGACCAATTAAATGCCCCATCACCCTTCCCCCGCTCTGCTCCACGAGTACACACAGCCTCCTCTTCACCTCCGCCGTCAAGCTCGTTTCCAACCCTTCTTAATCCCTTGCTCTAGAGAAGAACACACAGATGACTTTGAGCCTCCTGATTTGAACTCCCGTCTGCGTGCAAGTCTTCTTGACGGTGCTGACTCAGATGTCACCTCCAGACGACACTCTTAATAAAGGGGAACTTTGCAGTGTTAGAACTGCGAAGCCAGCCTCTGCCTTTTCCTCCCGTTTTAAAAATCTGCCGCTCCGTAAGGCTTATGACTGTGCCCACTTTAGCACTGATGACGACGGGCTAATCTTATTCCACAAACCTGCGCACAAGCGCCTTAAACACTCAGATCGGCACAATCTTACAACCCCTATTTTATCTCAGCTCCAAACTCTTTACCTGTCCCCTGTACTCATTGTCCACATCCACTCTTAACCTGACCCCTTCGAACCCGGCCAAATGTCCTTTTTACTCCCATCTGTCAATCCGCCCCTCCTGACGTCCAGCTGGCTGCAGCGCAGAACATCATCAACAAGAACAGTCCGACAGACTTCTATATCTATACTGATGGATCGACTCTCAACGGAACCCAAAATGGGGGTGCCGGCCGGCATGGTGATTCGTCAAGCTGACATTAGTATTCACAGCTGGCATGCAGTTCCTTCAACTCGGAGAAATCTGTAATGCTCAACGCCATAAACTGGCTGCAGCAACACAAAGACTGCTCCTCCGCATCCATCATAACAGATTATAGGTCCTTAGCTGATGCAATTTCAATCCTCAGTCCGTCTCACCCCAAGATCCTTGCTGTCCAATCATCCCTTGCGGCCTTGGGTTCCAAAGGTAATCTGGGTGCTGGGCCATTGCAACCTTCTTGGCAATGACTTTACAGTCAAGCAAACTAAGCTCTGCTCA